GGAGTAGGAGTAGGAGTAGCAGTAGGAGTAGGAGTAGGAGTAGGTAGGAGTAGGAGTAGGAGTAGGAGTAGGAGTAGGAGTAGGAGTAGGAGTAGTAGTAGTAGTAGTAGCAGTAATAGTAATAGTAGTAGCAGCAGCAGTAGTAGGAGTAGGAGTAGGAGTAGGAGTCGGAGTCGGAGTAGGAGTAGGAGTAGGAGTAGGAGTAGTAGTAGGAGTAGTAGTAGGAGTAGGAGTAGGAGTAGGAGTAGTAGTAGGAGTAGGAGTAGTAGTAGTAGTAGCAGCAGCAGGAGTAGTAGTAGTAGCAGCAGCAGCAGCAGTAGTAGGAGTAGGAGTAGGAGTAGGAGTAGGAGTAGGAGTAGGAGTAGTAGTAGGAGTAGGAGTAGGAGTAGTAGTAGGAGTAGTAGTAGGAGTAGGAGTAGTAGGAGTAGTAGTAGTAGTAGTAGTTGCTGTTGTTGTTGTTGCTGCTGCTGCTGTTGTTGTTGTCGTCGTGTCATAAACTTACGCGCTCCCCCTTGCTTTGCAGGGTCGGCGGATATATACATACACGATTACAATAATATATATATATATAATATTCATATGTGTATGCACGACCACAAAGAACAATAAAATATCATTGATGCATAAAAAACTTTTCTGCAACATCCTGAGGTTCTGCGGGTTCTGGACCTTTCTGGCAATTTAATAACAAGGTCTGTGCAGAAAACTCAGATGGTATCATCTCTCAAGGGCCTTCAATCACGATCTGCAGGCCAACCGAAGATCGCCTGATGTCTGCATATCACCGCAATATCACGGCTGACAGCTCAATAGGACTGAACTGAAGCTAATTTTCGGATGTTTTTGTCATCTCCCGTCCCGAGACGAGGTCTTGAACACCCTGCGGCTCTCGGAGGCAGATGGCCAGGCGCCTTCGGGATCCTTCAGTCACAGGCAAATCATTTTGAACCTTTTCTCGCAGAGGCCACTTTTGGAGAAAATCATTTTGAACCATTCAGATCAATCAGGTGGATCCTGACAAGGGAAAACCTCCGCGCTTTACAGTCAGCTGGCCAGTGGGGAAGATGCGAGATGAGAAACTTCGCTTCGTACCGCGATGAGTCCAGCTGCAACTCTGAGGTCGTCTGCACCCAGCAGGGTATTGAAGTTCGCGCGGGGAGACCAGGGTCCGAACCTCAGTCGGCACCTCTAAAGATGGCATGCATCGGACTAATCAGACCTACAACCTGTGCTTCAAGCATTGAAAAATCTGTTGGATGATGACAAACAGTACTGGAGGATAGTCCTCCAGGAAAATTGTACTTTCCAGGTCCCTAAGCAAGTTGATGCAAGTTGAACAAACCACTTGCAAATAAGATATTCCATTGATTTGAATGGTATGCATATGTATGTATTATTTTATTGGGTTCAAAGTTTTAAAGGGAACAGAAGTAGAGGCACCTCGAATCATACCCCCGAATCATACCCCATTCAACTTTCTCTTTTTGAAACATACCCGGCTTTCAATACCTATATTTACAGCAACCAGCAATTTAGAAACCAAATCAATTGCCTCTTCCGTTTCTGCTGCAGCTGCGGCATCTCCTGTCTCTGCGGGGCAATCACTTGTATCAGTGCTGCCTCTATTGCCCCTCTCCTCCTGCTCCTTCTCTCCTTTTGCTTATTCTCCTTTCTTCCTTCTGCCCCTCCTGCTTGCTCCTCACCCTTGCTCCTCCTCATCCTCCTCTCCTCCTCGCTCCTCTTAGGCCTTAACTCCTACCGTAAGAACCCCACGTGCGGCCACTTTAGACCTCAACACGTCCTGAAAGTGCTTGCCTGCCATGAAAAATGGACATAGCTCAAAAAACGAGCACGGCGCGCTAGTAAAACGAGACCTTCGGAAGAAAGGTCTCCGCGACACCCGGTTTGTGCGAGCCTGCGCAGTCGAAATGCACATGGACATCTCACAAGGGAACTTTTGTTCTCCAAAGGTCAGCAAAAACGGCGCACACGTATGAGACCATCTCAAACGAACACCAGGCCTTAACTCCTACCGTAAGAACCCAGCCCAAGTGTGGCATTGTTTGGGAAAAAAGAACGGAGGGGTATTTTTTTTTTGGCTTCTGGCTTGGCTTTTGGTTTTTGGCTTCTGGCTTAACTGGACAGAAACTACAGTCGTAATATGAGCTTATATGCATGCTGTTTGTGAGAGGAATTGAGACCTGTTTTCAACAAGTGTCCCAACTACTTGCTGTTCCTAAAGTTCTTAAGACCCTATTTCAAGACACTTGTTGAACTGTTGTTCTCCAACTATATTTGCTTGAATTGTGTTTCACAATGGTTGCATGGCAGTCAGAAGTTTAATCTGTGTACCTTTGAGTTTATATGCATGCTTATCGGAGAGAAACTGCAACCTTTTTCCACATCAAGTGTCCGTCCTAACGAGCTCTTTTTTTATGTCTGAAAAAAGTATCTCAGGACACTTGTTGAATCTGGCCTCCTACTATATCTATGTGAGTTGATGCGTGTGAAAACCTAAAGAAACCGTAAATGACACCCCAAACGAGCCCTAACGAAATTAAAAATGAAACCCTAAAGAAATGCCAAATGACACCCTAAAGAAACCCTAAAGAAACCCTAAATGAAAGAGACCCTATTTCAAGACACTTGTTGAACTGTTGTTCTCCAACTATATTTGCTTGAATTGTGTTTCACAATGGTTGCATGGCAGTCAGAAGTTTAATCTGTGTACCCTTGAGTTTATATGCATGCTTATCGGAGAGAAACTGCAACCTTTTTCCACATCAAGTGTCCGTCCTAACGAGCTCTTTTTTTATGTCTGAAAAAAGTATCTCAGGACACTTGTTGAATCTGGCCTCCTACTATATCTATGTGAGTTGATGTGTGTGAAACCCTAAAGAGACCCTAAATGACACCCTAAACGAACCCTAAAGAAATTATATATGAAAACCTAAAGAAACCCTAAATGACACCCTAAAGAAACCCTAAATGACAGCATCAATGAAACCCTACAGAAAGCTTGCTTGAAACCCCTAAATGAAACGCCAAAGACATCGTAAAAGAAACCCTAAATGAAACCCTAAAGAAACCCTAAATGAAACATATTTTTTGCATTGTTGCCTTCATTTTTCCATAGGTTTCAGTTTCTTCATTTTTGCATGAGTTTTCTTCATGCCTTTACCTTCTGGCTTCTGGCTTTTGGCTTCTGCGGCTTCTGGCTTCTGACTATTGCGGCTTCTGGGTTCTAGCTTCTTGCTTCTGGCTTTTGGCTGCGGTTCTAGTTTCTGGCTTCGTGTCTGGCTCGTGCTGCTTGGATTTTCTTCTTCATGTTTCCATCATTTTTATTTAAACATAGACCCAGCCTGGCTCCAATATAGGCCCAACCTAGCCTATAATGGCCCAACATAGGCCCAACATATCCCTGAAATAACCTCCAACAAACGAATTTTCCGTTGGGGTTTTAAATATGACTATATAACATCAGCCCAACAATGCAGTATTTGTTCTGGCTTCTGCGCGTTCTGGCTGCGGCTTCTGGCTTCTAGCTTCTGGCTGCGTTCCTTTCCATTTTTTAAAAATGTTTCTATGAGTTTTCTTAAATTCCCATAAGTTTTTCTTAATGTTGGCATGAGTTTTCCGCATGTTTTCATAAGTTGTCATCATTTTCCCATGGCACGCATTGCGGGGGGAGGCGCTGCGCCCTCCCCCCGCGCCCCCCCACCCGCTTTTTTTTTTAAAAATCCGACCCTCCCCGTGCTGGGAAGTCGACGACGACGACGACGACAACCACAACCACAACAACACAACCACAACCACAACCACAACCAGCACCACAACCAGCACCACAACCGCCACAACCGCAATAATTATTAAAAGATAGATAGATCGAGAGACAGAGGAATAACTGCGATAGAAATAGAACAACAACAGCACCAGCAGCAGCAACAACAACAACAACAACAACAAGAACAACAAGAACAAAGTAACAAGACCCATATACTCAACAATTGTTGAAAAGAACCCTCCTCCCGCGCCCCCCACCCATTTTGTTTAATTCCGACCCTCCCCTTGCTAGGAAGTCGACGGCGACGACGACGACGACGACCACGACGACGACGACGACGACGACGACGACGACGACGACGACGACGACGACGACGACGACGACGACGACGACCACGACCACGACCACGACCACGACCACGACCACGACCACGACCACGACCACGACCACGACCACGACCACGACCACGACCACAACCACGACCACAACCACAACCACGACCACCACCACCACCACAACAACAACAACAACAAGAAGAACAACAACAACAACAAAAACAACAATTACTTTACTTCGAGTGATCCCCACCATGACATTTCAAAACAGCTAGTTGACAGCACTTTTGTCTGAAGCTTTTGTCACGGGACTTTTGCCCAACTAACTATCCCAATCATTTGTTTCACCTGGCAGGTCATTGTACAGGTCAGACTGTCAAACAGGATATAAACATGTCAGTGGACCATGTGAAGTAAACTCCAGAGCTCTCAACAGGTTTGTTTAAACATGACCAAACAGGGCAGTGGACCACCTGAGCCAAACAAACAAACATGCCCAAACATGTCAGCACGCCGCCTGTCAAACATGTTTGTACAAACATGACTGAACCCCAGTGACTCTGTCATCTGTTCAAACTGATTGCTTCAAACTTTGCCACCCGCAAAGTCAATAGTGGCATTGCCCCGATCACACGACCACACACCTGCAAGTTCGCAAGTAATATATCACATACTTGTCTGACATTCTTTCTAACTTTCTTCTGCACATTCTTTGTCCCATATCTTCCTACATGAGGTCCGGCAGGGAAAGATTTGCCAGGTAGAATGCCATAAAATATGCCAGAAGATATGCCAGATAGATATGCCAGAAGATATTCCAGAAGATATGCCAGATAGAGTGCCAGATAGAATGCCAGATAGAATGCCAGAAGGTATGCCAGATAGAATGCCAGAAGATATGCCAGATATAATGCCAGAAGATCTGCCATATAGAATGCCAGACGGTATGCCAGATAGAATGCCAGATAGAATGTCAGAAAAGATGTCAGATAGAATGTCAGAAAGAATGCCAGAAGGAATGCCAGGAGATATGCCAGAAGATATGCCAGATAGAATGCCAGATAGAATGTCAGAAAAGATGTCAGATAGAATGTCAGAAGATATGTCAGATAGAATGCCAGAAGATATGCCAGATAGAATGCCAGAAGATATGTCAGAATATATGCCAGAAGATATGCCAGATAGAATGCCAGATAGAATGCCAGAAGATTTGCCAGATAGAATGCCATAAGATATGCCAGATAGAATGCCAGAAGATCTGCCATATAGAATGTCAGAAGATATGCCAGATAGAATGCCAGATAGAATGCCAGAAGATTTGCCAGATAGAATGCCAGAAGATATGTCAGGGAACAGTTGGCATGGATACTCGCGGTTGAGGTCCGGCAGGGAACACTGGGCGCGGATGGTCGTGGTTGAGGTCCGGCAGGGAACACTGGGCGCGGATGGTCGTGGTTGAGGTCCGGCAGGGAACACTGGGCGCGGATGGTCGTGGTTGAGGTCCGGCAGGGAACACTGGGCGTGGATGGTCGTGGTGGAGGTCCGGCAGGGAACACTGGGCGTGGGTGGTCGTGGTTGAGGTCCGGCAGAGAACACTGTGGATCGCGGGTCGCAGTTGAGCAAGGACGACAAGGATGACAAGGAGGACGAGGAGGAGGAGGACGAGGCAGGAGGAGGCGGAGGAGGAGGAGGAGGAGCAGGAGGAGGAGGAGGAGCAGGAGGAGCAGGAGGAGCAGGAGGAGCAGGAGGCAACTGACATAAAATCTAACAACCCTCACCTGGCAGGTGGGGAACAACAGCAACAACAACAACAACAAGAAGAACAAACACAACAACGACGACGACGACGACGACAACAACAACAGCAACAACAACAAGAACAACAGCAACAGCAACAGCAACAAAACAACAATAATAATAACAACAACAAGAACAACAAGAACAACAAGAAGAACACGAAAACAACAAAAACAACAAGAACAACAGTAACAACAGTAACAACAGTAACAAAGAACAAACAACAACAACACCAAGTCTAAAAGTATGCAAAAGAGGGAAAACTAATGAGTCTGACGGAAAAATCGATGAACAACGCTAGAAAAGCGACGGCAAATATAGAAAAACATAGAAAAAACAATGCAAAAACGAAGAAAAACCATCGAAAAACTGAAGGAAACGCTAGACAATTTTCGAAAACTATGGAAAACTGATGGAACCCGCTAGAAAATCATAGAGAACTATGGAAAATGGAGGAAAAACGCTGGAAAATTAGCGAAAACAATTGGAAAATTGATGAAAACTGCTGGAAAAACAATGAAAAAACAAGGAACCCAACCCCGAGCAAAAAAAAAAATGCAAAAAAAACAACTTAATTCCGCGCCCAAAAAGAACCCTTGGGTCACCATGATTCACCTTGGACAAGCGGCATTTACTTGAGGCCCAGAGCTCAAGTCAGCCCAAGTCTTAGCACATTGTCCAGGGGAGATTGCCCTCCACTCCAGATAGTTGCTATTGGTCCTCGAAAGCTTAAAACTTACAAAAAATTTGACGGCAACCGAACTGTGTCGTACTTGCAAAGATTTTTTTTTTGGCACCATGACATCCGTGACGCGTTCCCATTCTGTCTGTGACAAGGCTGGGAACAAGATCAAGGTGATGTTGAAATTGTTCTCAAACGCCCAGAATTGAGAAGAACCGACTCAACGTGGACTCTGACATGTTTGCTGAGCATCATGGACAGCATATGATTGCCATCTTCAGTCAGTGCCTAGGGTATGTGTCAATTTCAATCCTTTTTTCTTTGAGAAGATGACACGTGATGATATGTAATGACTATGACTATTCATGATATGTCATGATCATAAAAGACGGGCACTTCAATATCTCCTCCTTGGATTCCATGACAGGATTGTGGACGTTGGCTTTGGTTATCGTAGGCTGAAGGTCACTGTGCAGGCCTTGGAGATGTCTCGCAATTTTCTGCGAAATTTCGTGAGCTTCGCAGCGTTTCCCAGAACTTGGACTCCCAGGTCCGTGGAGAGCTCTTAATGGACATAGAGCTTGCAGCGTCCTTACCTCAGTGCAAAAAATGTGTAGAGGCAAACATTGTACTTGCATGTACTTGCTATATTTGGCCATCTTGGCCATCTTAATGATTTCCAAGGCGTATCCGACCTGATGACTGTGCCTGGACTGTCGGGGATGGCTACCTTCAGGTGGTTCTTGCAAAGGCTGGCTCTTTCCACGGTTCAATGCAGTACTTGCAGCAGCCCATTGCGCTATTCTTAGCTTTGACACCTTCCACACGCCTTGGCCCATCAAACAGCTGCTGTCCTACAGGAACAAAGACGTTTACACTTAGGTTGCACTAGATTCGATCACATCCATGTTCAAAGCACTGCATGGTGATGAATCAATCAATCTTATGGAACAAGCGAAACAGCACGAGATGCAGACACAATCCCACTGAATCGAAGAGGTGGATTCACGAGTGCTCATCTTTCACTTGCTCGTAAGACAGAGCATTCATTCAGGCATGCTTTTAGATCTTTTAGGATTAGTGACAGTCGATTGCGACTAGTAACGCGTTTTGCCGCCATGCAGTCCAGTTTTTTTCAGCTTTTATGGGATCCTCAGACCGAGGGTTTGCGTTTCAGATCAAACTTGTCAATTGAAAACGTGGCAAATCTCCGATGTGCAAAAGCGTGTTTCCTTTGCAGCCAATATTTGCCCATGCTCCTCTACTATATGCGATCTTCAGAACAACAACTGAAATTTCCAGCCTCTTTGAGCTACACAACATCACATGGACTTCCCAGATTTGTATGTTTGGCATTTTGGCTTCTTGGATGGTTCTTTTTCCTGAGCATTTTGGACTTGAATACTGACTTGGCCATTCTTGTATTTGCAGCGCAGATGCTGGTAACAGCCGGCATTTCTGCTTGGTCAAACAAACCAAACCAAACAAGAAAGCATGACTTGATCCACATGGCCGCTGCGGGCCTGTACATCCTCGACCATATTTTGTTGATGGAAGTGCTTGCCATGAGACCTACATACAAGACAGGCTTCTACACGTGCTTTTTGATCACAGCCGGATCCCTCTATTGGGGCACCTCTGTGAAACGAAATGCTGGAATGCCAGCGAAACATGCATCAAGTGCTGTTGAGTGGCAGATGCTCCTTTCCAAACTGCCAGCAGATCAAAGCTGTCAGCTTTGGTGGTCGGAACTCAGTTTCATGATCGCCGAGAACTTGATTTTCACCTCCTTTGTGCTGGGACTCACATCAGGTCTAGTCTCGGTGTAGAAGCGTCCAAAAAAGAGTATCTGCTGAGTCTGGTGCGCCGGTGCACTGTAGGGATAAGATTTGACATGACCAGGCTATATGAAGATTCACGTGGTTTTTGCCTTGCAGTCATTCGCTTGCAGACCCATACCAACCACGCATGCAAAGGACAAAATACTTGAACTCTGCAGTAGGTGTTGAGGGTCTCTTCTATTACTTCTCCCGCGCCCCTTTTGGCAACTTAATGCATCTTCGTGCAAAGTTTTCTTCGACTCCTGACGTTATAGAATTAAAGCAGGTTGCCAAGGCAAAAGCTGTGTACGAAGCTGTATTTTGATGTATTTTATACACAAACTGAAATGCTCACCTCGAACGAAGGGAAAGCACTGTACTGGGGAATTTCCGCATGAGAGAGAAAGAGAAAGCACACGAAGTCCACAACTGTTTCCAGGCCGAAGTTGGAAGATGGCAGTCCCTCACTGCTTGAGTGGCACGGAAAAAGACTCTGAAAATTTTGCCAATGGAGTATGAAACCACTCAGCAATGGTGCAAAGCGACACAGGTTTGTTGCAGTGCATAGGAGGAAAGTCTCTTTGGTCTCACCACTGCACTGTATTTTTCCTTGATTTCTGGATTCTGAAAGACATTTGGGCTCAATCACATTGGAAGTAAGATTGGCACTGTTCCAGGCAAACTGCAAGAAGGACCGTCAAAAGTTGCGTTTTTATTCTGTTCCGTTGTGCCCTCCTGAGCCTCCTGTGTTCTTCAGGATCACAAAGACTCTCCTGGAAGGATGTTGCCTGGCGTGCAGGTCAATTTTGATGTCTTGACAACCAGGCTGCTGAGCCTGTGAGGTTAAGCCTCTGTGCTATCAGCAAAGAAAGATGTTGTTCCTGAGTACACAAGACACAGATTTATGATGTACGCCTATTCATTTTCAGCCTTTTATCAACCCAGCCTGCTTACATGCTTCCATAAATCGAATTTCCTTAAACAGACAGACATGCATGCACCCACCCACCCAGGCACACACACACACAAAGGACTCATAGGCAACTGGACAGAGAGCCATTCAATTGCCAGTTCTGAGTCGTCTCTTTCCTCGACGACGGGGTTTGTTTTTCAGAAATACCTGATCTATCATTTCATTCTGCACGGTAGCAGGTGGGGTGTTTCCATGTTGCCAACCAAGGGCATGATTTAACTCGATCCAGGCTGCCTAGATTAAGATCAGAAGGACTCATCGACCAGTGACCAGACTCCACATCTTCCAAATAATTGATTCGTAATTAGGACTATTCGTACTAATTACAGTAGATGTCAACACTCTTGCTCCTTGTGTGTGAGAGTCTAAGGTTTGACTTCCTCTTCCCAGACCCAGAGGCAATGGTTGTTTGATTTGCAGAAGGTCTTTATAAACAGCTTGCCCTGAGAATCTTGATATGCTCACGAAGTCTTTCTGGAGTCATTGCATGTGCAGTGCTCGCTTCATTTGTTCTTCAGTGTTTGAGCTCTTTTGTTTCCCATTCACTTGAATTGGACTCGTTCCCCCAAGCGGACTCCTGTGCAAGGGGATGCAGCCCCAAATGCTGTTCTGGATTTTTCTGGCATACGGGCTTTGACCTTACAGCATCTTACAGCATCTGACAGCATCTCTTCATGCACACGGGCAAGCCGTGAGACGTCTTGCATAGGTGGTAACACGGTAGCATGGCAATATTGCACAATGCTTCAGTTCTGCCGGTTTTGTGTTGCGCACAGAGGTACATGCTCTTTACTGCAGCAAACCTCTTGAGTGATGGATCGGAGCTGCTTTTATTTATTCCACAGGCCAGGCCAAATTCTCCATGTGCGAGCTGGAGAAGAGTTGCACATGATGGTGTTCTTGCATGCATTCATACAAGAAAGTCGATTTGGGGGAACACCGTTCACTTGTATGTCGTTGGGTTTCACCTTTGTGGCTACATGCACAACATAGATCCAGCAGCATCCTGCCACAACTCCCACGGCTTGACGCCATTCCATTCATGTGCATGATACTCCTATTTCGTCTGAGCAGGAATGAGCCGGTAGTGAGCAGGTCAGCTGGACATAGTTTAGGGACTGTTTAGGGACCGTTTAGGGATCGTCTGAACTTGCCAAGAAACCCCGCAGCTGTTGTGGCCCTGGTTCACTCTTGTCCAGCCGAATCTGCTTGTACACACTTGTGACTTGGGCTGCAGAGAGATCTAGTCACTTCTAGTCCCGATGGCCTGTTCACAGCGAGCCATTTTGATGCGAGGCGGACCTTCTGCTGGCGCTCCTGGACTGCAGCTTTTGTGTTTTGGGTGGCACGACTCCCATCCCCATGCGGTAAGTTAGGAGGATGCCTTGGAGCCATGGTGGAATGGATGGGCTTCGGAAACTAAGGAGCCACATTTTTCAGCACTGACGTGGAATGCGTCGGCTGCGCAGGTGGCACTGGGGCGCTGGGTCGTTCGAAGTGAAACAGGCATTTTTTGGCTGAAACACTTATCATTCAATATGTAAACATATAAACAACTATATATATATGATTATACATATATATATATATGATTATACATATATATATATATGATTATACATATATATATAATATAATATAATAATTATAAATATAAAGTAATAAAATATAATATAAAGCATATAATAATATAATATAAAGTGTATAATAGACTATAATAATATATAACAATACACATATAATACACGTATATATAACAATACACATGTATATATATATATATTATGTGTATACATATTATAATTCAATTTGTGGACTTACAAAAGTGAAATGCTGCTGTGAAGCACACTAGTGCGTCAGGCTTCAACTTCAGGGTCTGCAGATGTGTGAAGGATTCAGTGATGCTCAAACATGCTCAATGTGTTCCGCTTTTGTTGTGTGAGGCTTGTGCACCATGGGTTGCTGCCTCAGTGTCCCAGATCATCCCAGATCCGCTCTTGGGAGTCGGTGCCGAGAAGTGACTTTCGCTTTCAGGTGGACTGCCAAGTCGTTTTGTACCTAGCTCCAAAGGACATGGCCAGACTGGTCTCTGTGACTTCCGTACTAATTAAGCTTGTCATCCAAGGGAGTGGTTTGTCCAATTGCAGAGATTCAATTGCACTCTTTGTGAACAGGATTTCAGAAAGACAGCCGATTTACTGTGCAACAGGCCCTCTCGAGTTCTGGATTACGAAGCTTCTTCATGTGGTGGAACTAGACAGTCTCAAGTCTTTGCAAAGTTGCGAGAGATTGCCTCACAAATCACGGCATGAAATGACGATAGACTGTAAACAATGATAAACTATGACAAACTATGAAGAACTATGCTTGACTATGGGAAACGCGTGATGAAGCCATGAAATGAAGCAATGAAATGAAGCGATTTGAAGCAATGTAAAAAGCCTCGGACAGGATGGCGAGAGAAGTATGGAGCCCTTCGAGGTGGTGCTGAGTCGCTCAGAGCTCGAGGCCTCGGCCACCTCCGCCACCTCGGCCACCTCGGCCTAGTGGGACACAAATGACTCGTTGCAATTTTTTGCAGATGTAGTTAAATTAGTTAAAGGTAAATATTATGTAAAGTAATAATATAGCATAATATAGCAAGGTTCAGAATTTGTTTAAAACATATTTAAGCTTTGTTCAACTGTATTTTCCTTTCCTCAGTGACACACTGTATTGCTCGTATCTCCTGTCAGGCATGGGGACTCGCATGGAATGGCAACTCACGTGCTGCCAGGGCCTTTCCAGAACATTCCAGAACATGCCTTTGTTTTCTGCCTAATTCTCGAAAGGTTCCGGTAGAGGTGAATGCTTTACTTTTGTCTGACAGCATCTTAATGTATCTTACAATAGATTCTGGAAGAGTGTTGAAGTGTGTTTGCTTCAGGCCAAAAGATTCCAAGTTGCTGGTGTGGACCCGTGTTCACCAGCTGGCAGATGGAACCGAGAGCAGCAGGCATCCGTGTCGGTGATTGTTCCTAGACGTGTCGCCGTAGCCATAGAACATCATAAAACTATTGGGTACAGGAACCCCAGAACATCCAGAACTCACCTACCTGTGCGTCAAACGGGTATCATGTTGCAAAGTCGCACCCGAAATCCGTACGCGCTCCAAGATTTTGTGTTGCACGCGAGACACGTGGCACCCGATGTTTCTGTTGCGGCACCTGTGGCACTGTGGCACCCGATGTTTCTTGTGGCAGGCCTTCGGTCTGCGTGGCATCAGTCGAGGGGACGAGCTCTTTGAAGTCAACGGCTGGTCAGGTCACAGTGAAATGCGCCAAGAGCTGGTGGACTCCCGGGCCGTTCGCCTACTTTTTCGACCAGATCGAGGGCCAAAGGACGTGCGATGCCCAGTGGGACAGAAAAAGGTTCACAACGACTGTCACATTGGTCACATTGGCCACATTGGTCACATTGGTCACATTGACAATACGGATCCTGAACCTGATCGATCTGAGAAGTACACTCAGATCAAGCTACAGCAGCTACCACAGCTACCTGACCAACCCCGCAGATTTTCAGATCTTTCATTTTTGAGTCCAGAGGTTGATGAGGCAGATGAAGATCAGGATGCATTGAGCGAGGCGTCTTTCTACTCAATGAAATCGTCCGCCTCCTCGTTGTCCTCCTCTTCCCAATGCTCCCGGAACCAGCCTTCCAGCGGAAGGTCCTGTCCATCTACGGACTGGGAGTTCCAAGGCTACCAGTGCCACAATGGGCAAATGTTGCCACCATTTACACGCTCTATATCCAGCGGGCCGGTGCACTTCTCAGTGGAACAGAATGCAGAAAGATATTACTGGTAAACCGACCACACTCAATAGTTTTGTTTGTATTTCTGCTTTGCATTTTGATTTGGTGTGTTTGCTTGGCTGAATACCCAGGTATCAACTTCATCATCTGGTCGAGGAAAGCGGCGCCGACGAGCCAACACAGCAAATGTTGTGCCACCAGCTCCAATGCCGCCCCAGACCCAGCAGATGAACCAGGTTCCAAATCAGCTTCCCAATCAACTTCCAAATCAAATCCCTTTTCCTCCCACAATGGTCTGCGCCTCAGGTGCTAGTTGTTTAGAGATGGTCAGAGCAGATACTGGATTTTTTCAAGTTGGAGTGTCTTTCATTCTGGTATGTCTAGATGCATTATTCATACATTATGATCATTTATGAAGGTTGTGGGTTTACGCTGCATTTCTGCAAATAGTTTGAATCTCCCATCCAGGATGTGCCAAACCACCAAGGTGCCCGTGATGGTGCCACTTGTCAATGCACCTCCGGGACAGCCCTTCTTAGCAATGGCGCCTATGCCGCCTGCGATGGCACCAATAGCACCTGCTATGGGACCCATGGTGCCTCCGATGGTGTCGCCAATTGGACCTGGGATGAGTGTTGCAGTGTCCTTTCCATCCGATATGCCAATGACAGCAGAGGTTGTGGATATGGCACCATCTCAGCCATTCTGTGCGAGCCAAAATTTCAGTCCTGGGGCTGAGACCATGCAGAGCTGCATGCAGAGCCTGCAGAGCTGCCAGGAGACGACGGGTTTGCACGTTGAGGAGGCAGAACAACTTCCAGATCCGCAGAAAGAGACGGAAGCGCAACAAGAAGCGCAACAAGAAGCGCAGCAGGCCGAGCGGCAAGTGCAGGAGACAGTCACGACAGTCACCCTGAAGGTTCGGAAAAAGCCGACACGCCGTGGTGGAAAGAGAGCAAGGCATCGACCTTGCCATGCAGCTGCTGCAGCGGAGTGGGCTTCAAGTGTTGGAAGTGCTGAGACTCCTAGTTTTGGGGACCCAGGTTCGGGTGAAGAGGCAGAGGGCGAAGAAGGAGAAGATGAGGAGAGGGAAGAGAGGGAAGACAAGGAAGAAGCATTGGAGTCGACCCAGTCCGACAAGCGGCATGATCCCAAAGCAAAGGATTCCAGGACTCATTTGCCTATGGCGTCAAACACGTCAAAGCCGCGCTCCTTTTATCCATTAGCTGCTCGCTTGCGAGTGGCAAGTGCAGGCCTGAAGCCGAGCGCAAAGAATGGCAAGCTGGAAGAGTCCAGGGCCACTTTGTCCGCCAAAATGCCCAAGAAGATTGGGGAGGCTGATGCCGATGAGGTTGAGCTGGCTACCACAAAGGAAGATTGGATGCCAACAGAGCGTCCAATGCGTCCAAGTCAGATTGAAGTGATTGAAGAAGTGGAGCCTGAACCGGCTTCAGCTTCGGATGTCTCTGACCTCCCCAAGCAGGAGCCCACGGAAGGATTGGCAGGTCTCGGACCTACCACGTTGTTTGATGTTGTTTCGCCGTCGGGTTTTATTTCTTTATGTTGAACTGAGTAACATGCAAAGAATAGAAGCCAATTATACCAAGCCACTGTGAAGAGCCCAATGAAAATCCACACTAGAAGCACATTGGAAATACATTGGAATCAAATGGAATCGATGGAGTTTTAAATAATGATTTTCGAAATTTCAGTGTGACACAGCTGTGGAGGCGCCCACTTAGAACCTGTGAGCACCGCTGCGCAGAGGGTCATCGACTTGCCCTCGGAGACTTGGACGCAGTCTTTACGATTGGATCCGATTGGATGCGATTGGCTGATGCATAGGAATACCTAACAATAATTATTAATGATGATAATAATGAATGGTTAATACATGTTAATACCAAGTAATGCAGTTTTTTTTGACTGTTCTGGATGTTGTGAAATCTTGTGACATGTTCTGACATTTTTTTTGTACCATTTTGTGTCTTGATCATTTTGTGAGGAGCAAGTGGTGGGGCGACGAGTGCAAATCACTGGCCTCACGAAGACTCCGGAGTTCAATGGTCAGTGGGGGAAGGCCACCGATGCATACTGGAGCGATACTGGGGAAAACGTGCAGCTTGAACTGACTGCTGTGAGCTGATTATAGCTGCTTAAACTGTCTTAAACTGATAAATAAGTGGAGCCAGTTTGATGAATCCTTGAATCATCTTGAATCCTTCATGGTTTGCCTTGCAGGTGGAAAACTTTGATTTCAGCTGCAAACGCTATGCTGTACAACTTCTCCCTGCGCCTTGGTTTTGTGATGCTTTATGCAGATTGACAGTATCCACTTCATAAACATTTCACAACATGGCACCATGCCTGGCACAACATGTCTATTTGCACGTTGCCTGTTGTGGAAGTCCATGACATTTCTGCTTCCAAGCCTCACCAGAGCGCCAGGCAGAAGGCGTTCCAATGATTGTTAAGCTGCGCAGGGGACTGAGAGCATCAAAACATGAAGTCTTCAAAAAATCAAAGTCTTGGTATGTCTTTTCTGTGATTCTACAAAGTTGACAAAACATGTGCTTGGAAAAAAAAAACGAGGTGGAGAAAATTTGCGCATGCCACCTGTCCTCTCACTATGTTTCAAGCAAGCAACCCGAAAGCAGGCCTGGCGAGAATCGAATTTCTGAAAGCCATGCTGTATTTCTGATTCGGTTCCTGTAGGGACATGCAACGAGATGATGGCATGAGGAGATTGCCTGAATCTAACACCAGACTTATACGATCTCGTAATATCTCAAACCACATTTTTGTTATTACAATATTCATGAATATTCAAGATATTTATATAGTCAGTCGATCTAACATCTCAGTATTTCATGATATTTCATGTGCTTTTGTTGTCTCAAAGACAGTGGATGGCATATGACCCAAAGTGCGTCAGGGCGCCTGGCGGCCAAGCCTACAGGCATCGAAACTTGGCAATTTCAGAAACTCTCTCGATGAACATTTTGAGAGGAGAGCAGCAAAAGACTTCAGAAGAGAGCAGCAAAATGTGATACATTTTAAAAGTCGCTTAAAAGTCAGTGGCTTCTCTTTTCATCTCTTGTCACAGTGTTTTTCCTTTTAGTCTGTGACTCACAACTTCGAACTGATCCAAGGACAGTCTAATGCTGAGCGGCCTGTCAGAAGCTTTTCAACAGACCCAGCCATGAAAACAATGTCATGGCGGTGTCGTGCAATGGCCAGGAAATCCCATTGCCAGAGAGCAACAACCCATTTTGAGAAAACATTCTTTCCGTATGTTCAGGATTCGAAGGGAATCGTTTTTTATCAAAGTCGCAGACCAATGTCCAATGTGGAACATCTTGATACCTTGCCACAGTTGATTCATTCTTCTCCCGAAATATATTTCTTATTCCATAAGTTTGAAGCAGATTCACACAGCATGCACTCGCTGTGCATTTGCGCGCGCGCCTGCCTCTTGGAGCTGCAGGGTTTTAAATTTCAAATGTCAGAAATCAGTGGCGACAGTGGCGTACTTCTCAATCTTCTCACATTTTCACGTGACAGATCCACTGCGACGGCCGAAGAGCCAGAGGCTGACGAGGATGATGCTTCCACAAGAAAGTAGATAAAAGTAGGTGCAGTACATTGTTTCAAGATGGAGAGAAGTATGCCCAAGGGTCAAATTGTCAGCCCTTCGCACACCCCAGGGAACGGAAACTCGACACTTTTGTGAGTTTCTCTTTGTAGTATATCTCATCTCAAATGGTGTCACCCACAGATGTCAAGATTGACGCAGCTTTGCCGTCTTGTAGGCATAGGCAGTATTAGATGCTTCGCGGCAAATCTTTGTGTTGCTTTGCTCTGCCATGCGCCACATGATGTGCATGAGCAGCATGGGTAACACAAGCTGTGCTGCTCCAGACATCTGACGGCGGATTTCGTTTCACCGCGGAAGAGAGACATTCCGGAATTGTAAAAGGGGAGGCTGACACCTGACCTGAAACATCCTGACATCCTGCAAGCATCTCAATACATCTACAAAATAAGACAAGTGGTCACCCAAAAGTGCAATGGTATGCAATGGTATGCAATGGTCCAATCGGAGGATTTGGAGGACAGCATCAGATACTCGAGTGCTGCATGAATGATATCAGCGCGGATCCTGCGGCGCCGGTAGGTTGCCGGCCTGGTTGGGAGCGTGGTCCTCCCAGTGCTGGGAGCAGTTCCAGATGGTATGATGTGATGGCCTCAGATGCCCTAGAGCCAATATAGATTGCAGTTTCAAAACAGTTTCAAAACAGCTTCAAACACTGAGGGTTCTGTTCTCTGGACTGGGTCCAACCGAAAAGGCCCAGCAAAATGTCAGAATCTCAGCTCCCAAACTCCAGACATCTCCAGACCTTGCATATCGATTATATGAAGCAGAAAAAATTGCGTGATGGTCCAGAAGTCCAGTGCATCTTGCCACACGAATTTAGATCTCGCCACATCACATATCTTCACATCTTTCGTATCATTTTTTGCATGTTTTCCTCATCTGCTCACATCATCTCACATCTACATTATTCTGTGTTAGACCCCGTCCTCGAGGTGGCCGTGGGTGTTGGAGCCTTGGCAGGCGGGTGAAAGAACAGATCTGCCGACTTTTTGCATGTTGCATCGCTGGATATCGCTGGTGATTTGCATCTCGTGTCTCAGAGGCAGCACAATCATGCTCCTCACAGTTCCGTGGTTCTTGGTACCCCTCGCTGTGTTTGGGAGCTTGAAGTGCTGCTCCCTGCACTTTGTTTTGCACTTTGTTGCTTTCCAAGAAGAGCGTAAAGAGGAGTCAAAAAGTTATTCAAGGCAGACTTGAAATGATTTCAAAGCTGGACGGGACGATTTGACATTGTTTGAGTTCATCGTTCATCCTTTAAGCTGGACAAGCCAGAGCATGAACGCCAGGCAGTTCTTGGCGGCCGTGTGGATATTGAGAAGGGAAAGTGTCTGTACAACAACTCTCCCAAGGTCTCGAAGGTGCCAGAATGAAAATGAATTGGACAAGTGACGAGAGTTTCAAGATGTTTCAAGTGCCCAAAGGGGTTCAACTGTTGGCGAAAGCCGTTCTGAATGCAGCTTATCTTGTGTTGGGATATGTTGGGTGCAGTTTGGCCTGGTCGACACCTTCATACATGCGGGCATTCGCAACTTGAGCTGCAGAAATCAGCGCAAAAAAGCTATATAATGCTATATATATATATTATAATATAATATATATATAAAGCATTATAAAGCTATCAAATGGGTTGCAGAAGGTGGTGAATTATGGTTCCACGGTCCCACGTCGAAATCGCAACACAGTCTCTTGACACAGCCAAGGATACAAGCCAGAAATCCGAGCCAATGCAAAGATCATGGTGTTCACAGCCATCACGCACCCCTTGATCTTGACTGGATGCAGTGCAGTCTCACATGCGAACACAGGGATCAGTCGAACTTGGGAATCGCAGGTACCTGATTATCCAAGTACCTGCCCTGTATGTCGACAACCAAAATCCTCAAATCGGACTGAAGGCAAGTAAAGCGCAAACGTGTAAAGTGCAAAGGGACATATGTCAAAATATGTCAAAATATAGACAGACTGGACTTTTTGACTCTGGATCTCGGTTGCAAGGGTTGTTGCAATGATTCCTTCGATTCAAATCTTGGTTTTCAGAGAGCCCGGCCGTCAGGGAATCCGCAGGGAAAATTCTCAAGAATCTGTCTAGATCTTAGTTTTTGGAGACAGGGATTCTTCGCTCGCGATCGCTCGCGTGTTTTCTTTTTGCGCTTTTTGAAGTACTGTAATGCTTTGCACAATTTTGTAGTATGTCACATATGGATACATACGGTATGTCTTTACAATTCTTTATGTCTTTCGATGTTCTGTGTGCGCGAACTCCGCAGACCTGGGCATTTCTTGGAATGGTCCTCTGCTTCGTGGAGTTCTGTATGTGCGCGAAATTCATCAGCCAAGTCAACTCGCCCGTTACAGGGCTATTCATGATTAGTCACCATTCATACACCGACACTGATGCCGCTTCCAGATCTTCCAGATCCAGGTACATGTATATGCAATATGCTGCCAGCTTGCCTGACCAGCAAGTTCCCCACTCAGTCTCTAATGCGGAGATGCTGAAGGCGGGAACTGAGACATTTTTCACCCGAGACATTTTTGGACACAAGTCTCAACTCCAGACACCAACGAAGACAATTTCATCATATTTCATCAACATATTGCAACATGCTCATATCTCAGAATCATCTACAAGCTAAACAAGCTAAATACTAAATACATTGCAAATTTACCATGATTTACCATGATTTACCATGATTTACCATGATTTACCATGATTTACCATGGTTTACCATGATTTACCATGATTTACTGATTTCCGTCATTTTGCACCACTGTGCTCGGATTCGATGCCAGGCCAAAGTTGCTGGTTGCGTGGGTTGGATTCGGGCGAAGATGGGCTCTGCCGGCATGGCCCCGTCGACCTGGCGGGTTTTTTTGAAACATCGGGTTTTCAGCGTCTCGAAACGGCCGATGGAAAGGATGGAAAGATATGGAAAGGATGTAGGATTACTGTGGGATTTAGATGGATTTAGATGGATAACATGATGGATATTTTTTGGCCATAGAATGGTGGATTCATGGATGATAAAAATGGATGATTTATGGATGATTCTCTGGTGGATTATGATAGAATTGTTGTCAAAAAGAGACAACCATGAAATTTGAATCTACCTTTAGAAATCCAAACCACATCATATCAGTTGGTTGTTGGTGACATTGCTTAAAACATCTTAAAACATCTTAAAACATGTAGCTTATTGGGCCTTGTACACTCCGCAGGGCAAAGACTCGAGGCTATGCCACATCCATTGTGAGGGCACAAGAGTGGTGCCCTCAGTGCTCCAAGATGTGGCACAAGTGGCACAAGTGGCAGTGGGATGATCTGGGATGATCAGGTTTTGCCCATGGTTTTGGCATGTTTTGAGCCGCAAGCCCCAAAAATACCGTAGCTTTGGGGACTTTGGGGTCAGAGTTCTGGTGGAATCCAATCTTGAAGATTCTGACGATGCCGCGATGCCACATGCTTTCACGCGATTCTATGCATTGTTTCACTTGACCGCGTGTGATCCGACAAAGCAGGCTGGGTGTGAAAGGTTGGATGGAGGAATTCCGAAAGGAGCCCTAGCTGCAAAGAGATCTCATGGACATTGCATTAGTCATATATCCCCAGATATGTGCAACTCTGGAAAAGGATGCGACGTCATCATCGCTCTCATTGCTGGTGACCATGCTGAATTTGCCATTATTTGCGATTATGAGTTGGATAGATTTGGTATGTCCACAAGGAATGGAAGCTCACAGAAGACAGTTCAGAGGCGGAGGGTCAATCACTTGTCCAGATTACATTTTATTTTCAAGCAGTTTCCTACTGCAGCAAAAGTTGCAGCAAGATGACGTGTCGATTGGTGATGGTGTATTTGACTGTTTTGCGCAAGCTCTGTCTGCAGAAAAACAAAGCACTCCTGGACAAAGCAAGCTTTCCACCAGACTTTAGAGACACGCCCCTTGGAAGTTTCAGAGAGCGCTAGCAGTCAATGATGAGATGGCTTTGAATGCTTTGATTCCTGCTTCTGCCCTTGGAAGGCTGCTCCTTTCCAGTGAAATTGATGAGACAGCCTTTTGTTCCATTTTGTTGCAAAGTTGATGCAGTGATGATTGCACTGATGCCGCTCCTACCCTGCTGGAATCAGGGAATTGCATCCTGCCCAGGTTGCAGATGTGGTACAAGAAGTGCCCGCACAACTGTCCCAAGCAAAGACAGGTATATTGTTCCACCTGAAAGTGCAGGATCACTTGGATCTAAATGATCCAAGTATCATCCAATTACAATTGACAACAATTGACAACAATTGACAACAATTGACAACAATTGACAACAATTGACAACAATTGGCAACAGTTGACAACAATCAATATCCAGGGCTTGGTAAATGTCCTATTTGGGGATTTTGAACATCACTTTCAAATATCTAAAGATTATATCCCCCAGAATTGGGTGATGTTCAATTAGGACATTTACCAACCCCTGATATCCGTTGGTCACAGCAATTCCGCGCAGCCAGGTACGCGGAGAGCGATGACGGCCGCATGGGCATTCGGGAGACTTGGATCACCAGTGGGTCAGGCTGTGAGGCTTGGAATGACCCTTTCATGGTCAATTTCAATGGGAATGAAGGGTAAATGGATGGTAAATGGATGGTTGATAGTTGATGACTTCACCCACTCTTAGTTTTCGAAGAATGAAGGATTTTAGCAGATCTGGGATTAAGATTGTGGCCCTGCGAAATCATTCGACTCTCTCTTCCTTGATTAAATCCCGCGGCATCTTTCTGGCAATGCAAGAGATGGATGAAATCACAACTATCATGATGGGTCATTTCTTCCCCCCTGGTTAAGGGGGAAGGACATATGTCATAGCAGCATGCTTTTTAATGCTGCGAGCCTCTTGGAAACCTGAGGACTTCGACAACTTATTGCGAATTCTCCACTTGAACGGTTGGACTCCTTGGACAATGCACGCTCGCAGTAAAGCAATTTGCACAATGCAGAAAGACCGTCAAGGTATGTCAAGGTTGTCAGAAAGAAAGAGAGAGAGAGAGATATCAAGAAACTGAGAAGTATAATCAAGCAGAGGGACACAGAAAGGTAGAGACACGTCCAGTTTGCTTTGCCTCAGGCTATGACGCTTCAGAGCTCTTTGCAAAGGCTTCGTATTAAGAAAGACTTAAGAGCCGCAGCTGGATGAAGAATGACGAAGCATGACGAGACAGGACGCAACATGATGAAACATTATGCATGTGGTGACTGAGTGCCAGGTTGATACCAACAGTGATGGCGGGGCCCTTGGACTTGGCGGCCCTGCAATGCCTTCTTCTCTACTAAGACTCTACTAATTCCGCATGAGAAATTCTGCAGGAACAGACCTTTCAGTCACAGCAGCTGTATCATTTCATGCTTTGTTGCCCAGCCACAAGCAGGTAGCATTGACCTTGATGAATTTACAGAGACTTGGCTGAATTCAGAGTATATCCTGGGCGTACGTCCCAAGTCTAAGAAACAACCCATGAGCGCCACCAACTGATCTGAGGAATGCTTCAAGCATTTGGCATCATTGCCACCAAAGGAACCACCAGTCCAGCAGACTAACATTTGCATTTTTCTGGGCGTTTCTGGGTGCCAAAATCACTCTGCTTGTGGTTTGGAGCTGCAGATGCTGTGCCCTTTGCCAGGCAAGAAAGACCAAGCGAGCCTCTCAAATGCAGAAAGACGTCGATCAAGCAGTTGCACTAGCTGCTGCTGCCGCTGCTGCTGCGCCGGCTTGGGGCTCGTTGGAGTGTAAGGATAACATTGCACCTGACCTCGTCAATCTTCCAAGTTTGGGACGCTTCACTTTGATGTTTCCACTGTTCCTGGCCATTCAGACATATTCAGATCATTCATGTTAAAGTTTATTCGTTGATTTCCTAGGCTGAGCCCGAGGCCGGCGATGACGACGATGAAGAGGCATTTCGGACACCCATAAAGTACCGCTGTTGCAGTTTTATATTTGTTTGAAGAGTTTATCTTTTGACATCTTTTGATATATTCATATTCTATCATATCTTATACTCATAGTATAGTGTTAATGTTAAAGTGTTCTTATGGTTCTTTTTGTGCATAATGTTTCATGTTATATCTTCTGCTTAAGTGCTGCCCTCTACACACAGCCAGCACTTTTGGAGTGTTCTTCGCATTTCTTGGCAGAGTTTCTGCAGGAGGATGAAGAAGAGTCCATGCCCGAGGCCCTGCTTTGGTCTTCGATTTAAACATTTTGTCTGGTTGAAGATGAAGCAAATTGCAGCCTAATGATCACAAACTCTGAATTGTTTCAGCTGATTGAATACTCATGAAAGCTCCAAGATTTCAAGGCTCGCTCATGTTCCACGAAGAAAATCATGCACAATGATGCACACAGCCGACGAATGGCAGTTCCTTGCTGCGAAGCGTGGGCATCCTTTAACAGGGATGCTCCAACAGACAGGTAAATGATTCCTACCAGGGGGTGGGAACTAGGTGATGTTAGCTCTTTATTTCGCCTATTTCATCCTTTGGTCTCTGGAGTGAATTGCTTATTGGACATCTACAGGGTTGGGTGCCTGGCTGCAGCAAGTGGATTGTTCGGCGCAGGAGTTTAAAGATTTGTCAGTTGAGCAGCAGAGGTGCTGCTGTGTGCATCATACACATGTTGCAACCCAAGAGATGAGCATTGACTGTGGTGAATTCAGGGGGGAAATGACGGATCCCTTAGCTGCAGGCGCCAAATCCTTCTGAAGTCCGCATGGCAAATGGGTTCCTTGGCAACTAAATTTAACGCAATTGCCAAGTGCAGCTTCTGCACCAGCAACAGTTCAGACAGGCACGGGTGTGTTAGACCTTCAATTTCTTTCCATCACTGTAAGAGCAGGACTAGCCGATTAGCATCGATTAGCCGATTAGCCTATTTCCAAATGATATTTGTGGTCCCCGAGGCAGCCCAAGGCATGACATCAATGCGTTAAAGTGCGGGAAAATCGGAAATGAGCGACGGCACTCCAAGGCCTTGGCACTCTGATGGTCCTGGTTTTCTCAGATCCCATGGTCGATGTTCTAGCAGAGATTGGGTGGCTTGGTGTCCACGGGCTTTTTTTGTGTTTCTGCTATGTGGATGCGCTTCAAATATCTTGAAATCGTTACTGTATCCAGTCCAATCCTGAGGAATCAGAGCGGCATTCCATCGTTCTACATCTCCTTTGTTTGGACTTCAGTGAGCGGTTGCCGGCGGTTGCCCTATAATGGTCCTCACAAGTTTGACTTTGGGAGATTCTTCTCCGATCTTTCTTGTTAGCGATCACCTGTGCCCAGATCTTGGCGCCATTGGCTTCCAACTCATCCGAGCTCGTTGCAGCGTGCGCAATAAGATGAAACATGATGAAACCATATTATATGAAACATATGAAACCAAGGGTGCGTGCGACACAGACAAAGTGAGGTGGCACATGGAGGAAGTGCGGAATTAAGGTAAAACATGGTAAACCGGTAAACCATAATAAAGAGAGGTCTTGATTTGGTGGTAGCAATGTGAGGATGTCCAGAAGAGATGCAGAGATGACAGGTACAACTACGCTGGACGCAAGACGTCAAAGACGATCACCATTGCCTTGAACACTCTCGAGGTGGTTTTTGCATGTTTTTGCACCAATAAGAATGTAGCATAATGTAGCATAATTTTTCATAATCTTTCTACAAACACATGTGTAGCATACGAATAACATGCCAGGGAGCTGCCTGCATGAACAATACCTTCTGCCTCGGCATCTTCATGGCTCTGGTGTACTTTCAGGTGGATGTCTTGCGGCCTGTCTTGGTTAACTTGGTGAGTCTTAGTATCGGAGTGCTGAAGTATGCTGAAGTCTTGCAGCGATCGAATGTCTGAAGGGCTTGGCTTGGAAGTTTACGGCGGAGACCCTGACCATCATCGTTGTTGAGTCCAGCCCCAAGTGACTCTGAAGTGATTTCTATCCCGTCAGAACAACAAGATGTGTTGAATTTCTCTGGTGTGATGTGTTTCAAGTTGAAATGGATGGAATGGGGTCTTGCTAGGTTCGCACTGGCTGGCATTGTTTTGATGAATCACAACCAGAGGGTAGTTGACGTTTCGCTCTCAGAAAAAGGTTATAGCGTTTGGATTCTTTGCACCGCGTGCTGGGCCCCACTCTTTGCTTTGTCAAGCCAGGCCAGACATTGATTTTATTTCTCTATTGTGAAATCCAAGTCTTGAAAAATTGGAATTAAGGCCTTTGGCATTTTTCTGCTTTTTCCTGGAGCCCTTGTACTTGCCTCAGCCCAGATCGAACTGGAAGTGACTTTGCAAAGATGAAAACCCAAACCAGAAGCACTGTGACTATGTTTATCTATGTTTAAGGCGATGTTTGAAATTTTTGAAGCGAACGTTGTGACTCATGTCATGACCACTTGTGTTTTGTTTCGATGCTTTAGCGTGTTGGTACTGAGCAAAAAACGGTCATACCTTTTGCATTCCTTTTGCAATTGTTTGATGCCTTAAGTCTCCCCGGACTGCAGCAGCGAGAAAAGATTGTTAGTTTAACAAACTGCTGCTATCCGGGGCCCGAAAATCATCAACGAGGGATAGATATGGATGGAAAGCTTGCTGCGATCGACACAATCAGCTTTCTCAGTGGCTTTCACGATAAGCTTTGTTTCTCCATTGTGATAGCTTGAGGCCATGGTCTACATACTGGAGAACTACTGCGGGCTAGACTGACTGCTCACAACTTCTGTTTGATGATGTTTGTGCGCGCGGAGTCTGTTTCTGCTAGCATAGATTTCTTTCCGTGGATTCAACTGGCCACCAATGGATCCGCAAGCTGGTTGGATTCGACATGGCATCACAATCCGCACCGTTTCCCAAAAATTGCTTTCCATTGCACAGATGGCATTAGATTGGTTGATGCCTTGTCGACAGTATATAGATTCAGTCAATTCAGTGCTAAAAGGTGCAAATGAACTGGGAAGATTCTGCCAAGGATGCAGCTCTTGCAGATGGCAACTGGCCATCTTCTGTCAACTTCTGTGTTCCTTTGCACAGAAGTTGGCACTGCACAGTTGCCCACACGGATGTGCATAGGCATAAGCTTCAGCTATTGATTTCCTAAACATTCTAAAACCGAATCTTGTAGTTGGGAACACAGTTTAGCTGTGCCTGTTGCACATCCACAACAGAGTGCTTTGGTGTTTGAAGCTGCAAAGTACGTTCAGTTTTCGATGGTCCTTATATCATATATCAATTGGACAATCTGCAAAAACTGAAGGAACTTAAGGGCCAGGAGTTGGCTCGACACCAATTTCTACAGTATGTTGCTTGAACCACATTTATACATACATATGTAACTATGCAATATGTATATATAATATAATATTATATAGTTGTTTCATCCAAGAGCAATGTCGGAGAAAGTCAGACATATTTTGAGCCTGTGAGTGCCTTTTCTAATGTGTAATTGATGGCCTGTGCATGATATCGCTTTGATTGATGTGTTTCCTGAAGCTGAGTGTTAATGAAGTGCAAAAAAGGAGCAGCGCCCTGCCTGAAATAGGTGGTTGACTGTGATTGCTGCAGCCCCTGTGCTAGGCAGAGAGTATAATCCCTACTGTATACATACACTGTATCATACACCCCTATGCTGTTTATTCTCCGCTTTCATCCAGCAAGCCTTACAGATCAAAAGAGATCGCCCTAGCCAAATGGCTTTCTCCGCATGTTTTTGGCCATAGAGAGTTGGTTGACCATGCCTGACCGGGCCTGTTTCTGGGCCTTATGGTTTGATGGTTTGGTCGTATTGGATCCTGATTGCACTTGGAGAATGCGAAGCACTGTCAGGACTCCCAAAGCTTGCAACCTTTGCCGTGGAAGGCTATCTGCCAAATGGTCACAGTGAATTTGTGCCTTTTGATCCACCTTTCCCAACAGCAGATCGCTTTGACTACAAATGCTACCTCGACAACATCATGAAACAATTTGTTCTAAGAGTAGATCCAGAAAAGTTTGCAATTTTGTCCAAGTTATTGGAGGATGGAAAAGAAGAACATCTTTGCAATAAGCACCTGGCACGGGGGTCGCATTTGCCCCTACCTCATTTGGGGTTGCACTTGCCCCGCTGAAGGTGGAGGTAGGGGCGCAGCTGACCCTAGGGGCGAATGTGACTCGACCTTGTTTTGCGTGGCAGGCGCCATTGTTTTAGAGGTGGGAAAGGATCGTTTTCCAGCTGTGATAGTCAGCTCTAACATCCTTGTCAAGCAACTTCCAAGATGTTCTGCATGCTTTCCACGACGCTCTGGATGTCACTTTGTAACATGCATTTCAAGCGTCTTCCAAGACGTTCTGCATGCTACATTGCAACAACCATTTCAAGCAACTTCCAAAACGTTCTGCGTGCTACGTTGCAACAACCTGTTCAATCAACTTCCAACCTGATCTGCCTGCTACAGTATGTTGTAACATCCGTGTCAAAAATATTCCAAGACGCTCTGGATGCTACGTTGTAACCTCCGTTTCCAGTAACTTCCAATACGTTCTGGATGCTATGGTGTAACATTCACTTCAAGTAACTTCCGCGACACTCTGAATGCTACTTTGTAACATGCAATTCAAGGAACTTTCAACCGAATGTAGAAAGGTGAATGCCCCCCCCAATCAATATCCCCAAGTACCCTCTAAATGTCCCTGGCCTTGTCCCAGATTAAGCCCTAAAAGGCTGAATGGCGTATTAGAATGTATTAGACAACCACTGTCCCCAAGTCCCCCCTATGTCCCCATTTTTAAACCCTAAAAGGTTGAATGACTTATGAAGTAGAAAGGCAATTGAGGTTGGGGTAGGTAGGGGCGAATGTGACCCTGAGGTAGGGGCGAATGTGACCCCGTTCCCAATAAGCCTGGCCAGCACACACAGCCAGAATGTGTCAAAGTACACTGTGCAAGTCCTACATCGTTTGGGTTTCTCAACTTCCTTGGAAGACTTTCGCTTTTCAGGCCACTTCAAAGAAACTTTTCATGTGCAAAGCGAGATTCAAGCTTGCCATGCCACACAGGACATCAAAGAGGACTTCGCCGAACTTCAGTGGGCGAAAATGGACGGAGGTCAGGAAATTAGTTGTGCCATTGAGGATGCTGAGACTCGTGGGCATGGTCGTCCATCCAAAGCAAGAATGATGCTATTTCCACATCGATACTCACCATCATTGGAGACAATGCATTCCTTGGTCGAGAAGCTCCCGCGGCACTCGATCCGCTCGAACCACAGGTCTAAATTGTCGGATTCCGATTGATACTCCTAGTACTTGGGGAACCGTGACAGTTGGAGTAAATATTACTTCAGCCGACAAGACCCGCCATCGGCATCTTCAAATTGTCATCAGTAGAGACGGATGCAACGAGAGTTTTCTCTATGATGGAAGGTGCCTATCTTCCACTATGAGCAACGATTCAATTGGAGGTGTGGTCAATGCGGCCGAAGCTGTGAGTTTTGCAAGCATTTTGCAAAATGCAAGCGGTGCCGGCTAGATGCTCCGCTCGAGAAATTCCAGCTGCAAGATGGTATTTGTGAGGGTGTGCGCATCCATCAAAACAAGGTGTATTTGTTTGCTGCTTGGTGTTTGGGCGACTTGGACTATTCAGTTTCTGCACTAGTCACTAGTACATGAAATTGTGTTATCTGCCGCATTTTGGGAGTTCCCAGTTCCAAATCAAGATATCCTTCAGATGCAGGATCTAGATTCGTGATAAGTGATAAAGCTATGACATTGCGATATGTTGGACTTACTTCTTTGATTTAGCATCACTGAGGTGCTGCTTGTGCGGTGTTATGTGCCACTTACATGATGTACTGTATGGGCTTTTTCGCAGTGCATCCAACATGCACCTCTGCTTGGCGACTCAACAGGAGGTGCAGGTTGGACGCACTGCTTGCTCGTTTTGTGCAATTAGAGCACACAGAGAAACAACTTGCATAGCAGTTTATGTGTAATGTGTAGAGGGCTTGTTAGTTCAGCAGGTAGGAAACCTTCTCAGACCTGTGAGTTCGAGCAGTTTGAATACCTGCTGATAAGATGGATAACGGTGCAGTATTGCCTGAGTCGGAAGCACGAACGGTATGTTACTTAGCTATGCCCATAGCCTTCCAACATCGCAGGAAGAACACGGAGATGACGCTGAACGCTTACTGCTAACAATGCGTAATTTGCCAACGGGATAATTCCCAACATGGGATTTTCCGTTCCAATAGAAAAGAAATTAATGTTGGATCTTGATTAGTGTAGGGCCCCCCCTAAACAATTTTTGGTGTCTATTTAATGTGAAGAATTTTAAGGACCGGGGTCTGAACAATATTCTTATTGGATCAATTGATTTCAATTTATTTTCAATTGATATCCCATAAATAATTCATTGAAATATCATGGAAATCCCATAAGAATCCTACAGAATTCCCATAGTAAGATCATAGAAATAACAAGGAAACAACATAAGAACCACAAAGAAATCCCATAAGAATCCCGTAGAATTCCTTCAGGAATCCCAAAATAATTCTACTATATCACAGAAATATCATGGAAATCCCATAGGAACCCAATCGAAATCCTATAGTAATCCCATAAAAATATTATTACATAAAACGGGACGCTTGTCGAAAAAGTGGGCGCCCCTGTCGGAAACCCGACACTTGTAGCCGGAATTGATCCAATACATCATGTAATGATGCCAAAAATCCCAAATTTTCCGGAAATTTCGGACGAAACCCCGAATTTTCACGGAAATTTGGCGATTTAGGAATTTCCTAAAGTGGCAAATTTTCCGGAAAATTGGTACTTCTGGATTTTGACTGAACCGCGACTTTTGGCAGAACAACTCGCATCGCAATGCCTGATTTGGGGGTACCCGAATTTTGGGACTCATATATTAATTAAATATATATATATATGTATATTTATTTTTGATTTATATATTTAAATGATATATATATATATAAATTTGAAATTATATATATATATATATTTGAGATATAATATATTGTATATATTTTTTTAGTAATATATATATATATGAAAATATGTTATTTTTAAATATAATATTGTTGTTTTTGACATTTTGTATTTGATATTTTATAATTGATATATATATATATAT